AATAATAATAATAATAATAATAATAATAATAATAATAATAATAATAAACTATGGCCTGGCCATCATGGTTATAATGACAATCAAAAATTAGGTCTCCCAACTGACTGACACAATTTTATAACCTCTTTTGCAGTGTTCATTAAGCAAATGCGGTGGTTCTTAAGGGTTAACTATGGGTTGTTTTATTTCCAAAAACCAGAAATAAGTGCCAGTTTTTTGGCAAAATTGCTGTAAAATGCAGTCAAATCATGGTGGGATGCCACAGACGGCCATAAATGCAGGATGGTTGCTAAGCAACCAGTATGGTCACATGACCATGTGGGAATGGTACTTTGGAACCAGGCTATAGATATCCCTGGAGCGGTCATTGTAACTTCGAAGGGCCACTAAGCAACAAGTCGTAAGTCGAATTCCTGTACTCTGAATCAAAAAAGAGTTTGTACCCTACTACAGGGTTCTGTATACATTCTCCCTTGTTATACTCACTCTGACAGGCAAGAGAATGAGGTGGGTTTGTAAGCCAGAGGAGATTCTGGGTATCACACAGAAGAAGTTCTCCTTGAGACAAGACATCTTGATAGCCCGGAGAGCAAATCACTTGACATTGCTGAATCTTTGAGTTTGCGGTGGTGATGTTGCAAAAAACCCCACCGTGGGTCAGGTTAGAAGCATCATAAGACAGAGGACACTGTGGACCTGAAAGAACACAGTGAACAAGGTCATTCCAAGGAATTTGTCTTAGGTATCAAAATTAGCAATAGCACTTAAGACTTCTATACGGTGCTTTTACAGCCCTCTCTAAGCAGATTACAGAGTCAGCCTCTTGCCCCTAAGAATCTGGGTCCTCATTTTACCCACCTCGGAAGAATGGAAGGATGAGTCAACCTTGGGCCTCGTGGCATTTGAATTGCCAAATTGCAGAGGGGCTGGCAGGCAGCAGAAGTAGCCTGCAGTACTGCACTCTAACCACTGCGACACCTAAACTCATCTAAACATTAAGATCCCCCTTGGTTCTTAAAATGTCGCTTACGTTCACAGTCAGGCCTCTGGCCATTAACTCTTGTCCCTGGAGCCTCCTGACCATTGTCAAGGACACACCAACAGCTTGCTTGGTCTCCACTGCATTGTGCTGGAGAGAAACTCTGACGATCCTCGTCACACTCCGGGATGTAGCCTCTACCGATTTCTCGCACCAGAACCTTCGATTTCACCAGACTGCAGTAGCTGGGGCCTTCAAAACAAGAATTAGATGGT